TCCTCCTCCTCCTTCCTCCCCAGCTGGGCTGTCAATGCAATTCAATCACATTTACTATGAGATATACATGTGTACAGGAGAAAAATGTACATGTGTAAAATGACAGAGAGTAAAAGAAAGACTTGTTAATGAAAATTATGAGGAGCTTCTGGGTGATTACAAATGGGGAAGAAGTTTGAAGTCAAAGGATCACTAACTTTTAGGGAATTGCATTTACATTTGTGTTTGGAGTCTGTAACCACTTACTTCCCGGCAAGTTGTGCATGGTTTGCTTAGTCTGGTAGTATCTGAGCACCACTGCAGTTTTATGGAGGAGTTTGAAACATACAACAATTTTAACATTTAAAGAAAGATAATGTTTAGAAAAGAACATTGAATAAATGGGCTTGAACCATAGATCCAGATTCTAACCAATATCTAAAAGAGAGGTGGGCACCATATTGATATGCACGTTCTGATATACACTCCGTAAAACACATAATATGTAAAATCAGCATGGTGAGAAGTGTGTGTGTGTGTGTGTGTGTGTGTAAAATAATAGAGTTGGAAGACTTTGAAAGTCATATGTTCAAAATCCTGCTCAAATTAGGAATTACAAAGGAAAGTACAACTACAGTATCGTCTTCCTGGCAAATGGCCAACCTCAGTTTAAATTTTTCTATTGTGACTCTGCTTTCTCTGCCTATTACCATCAGGTAAACGAAATCAGCTGCTCTCTACAAGAATTTGTTATTATTCCTATTTTATTAAAACAGTTCATTCAGACATAGGTTGCCAAGCATATCTGCAAATCTTTTTTGAATTCTTTTAGACTGTCCTGGGGCATTTATCTCAAATATGTGCAGGAACCAGAAAGAAAACAGGTGACCCAGCTTCCTAGGATATTCCCTAAGCTCATGAAGGTGAATCTATGGCACATATGCCCAAAATAGCACACAGAGCCATGTTGCCTGGTGTGTGCGGCATCGCCTGTTCCTCTTCTGTGTTTCTGGCATGCATGCACATGTGATGATCAGCTGGCCTTTGTGCACATGAAGTGCTCCCTTTTCAGCACTTGGTATCTTGCATGCTCACGTGCTGCCCATCACTGCCCTAAGCTCTGAGGCTAACCTTGTGAAACTGTAGTGTCAGATTTACATCTGTCTCAAGTGAGGGCTTGAAGATGGTTTAGTATACACACAGAGAAAAAAGTATTGACAACTAATCTGGAGTAGTAGACAGATCTTGTAGGACTTTCGAAACTTTGAAAAATTATGTTTTTAACAAATAAAAAGATATTTCTGGCAGTTTTATAGGTTTAATCTCAAGGTATGATAAATGTTCTAAGTAATCTGAAATATTATTTCCATCCATGGAATTTAGTTGGAAGAAACAGTTACATCTGTCTGTAAAGGTAGCTTAAATGTAGTTAGATGAGCAATTGTCTGTTTTCCTGGTTTAAGAATAAATGGCTTCAAGTAGGATTAGACAATGAACAATTGTATTTAATGATTTTATTAATTTTATGAGAAAGGCTGAAATTAAAACAACTCCTTTTAAAAAAAATAATTATCAAATGTGTAGCATCTTGAATAAGTAAAATAAAACTACATTTTTTTTTCTGAGCATGTGAACAATGTAAAAGAAATGTGGGCTCCTCAATTATCATGGCTTAGCATCAGGGGTGGGTTTCAACCGGTTCGCGGCGGTCCCTGCGAACCGGTTGGTCGGCGAACCCGGAAGTAAGTAACTTCCGGGAATGGCAAAGGGGCCGCCCGCGCGCCCGCGGTGCTTACCTGGTTTTGACAAGTTCTGCGCTTCCACACATGCGCAGGACGCATACAGCGCCTGCGCGATCCTTC